ACATCCTTCAACGAACATTTCTTCGTAGTAAATACCCGGCCAGAGTGATCGGTAAGAAAATTCATCCCAACCTTGGATCAGACACCTACCCTAGCAGTAACCAGTAACCTTACGTGTGAATGATCTAATTTGGAAAGCCCAGCAGCTTCTCTGAGGCTGGGTTGTTCCTTGAAGCATGTTGCCACCGCTTCCACCAAGGCAGGATCCACAATTGTGGGCATTGCACATACAAGGATAACACGTACAATAGGTCATTGGGTTTCTTGACAACTTGACAATTAAGCCTTCTGGATTAACATTCAATAGAGCCTTGAAGCAATTCCATTTCATTGGTATTATGAGCATTCGGCTGGTCTCCAAAACTCAGAACCCAAATGGCTTATGGTTATACATGCGTCAGGAGGATTCTGCAACAGCAGTCCTAGATTACCGCCTTCTCAACCACAAGAGACTATGTCCTATAGGCCCATAGCCCACAATAGTTAGGTTACCGCAAAGTTTGGGACGCATATATTACCTAGCTAGAAAGGTGCCCAAAGCAGTGAATCCATCAAGTGTAGATACGGCAAATCCCTCTACCAGATTAATTCCCAGGCTTTATCGAAGAAACCTTAACCCAACCCTACATACCCGTAAAAACCCAGCACGGGCGGGCGTACCAGTGTCCAAGCGTTCGGAATCATGATTCGCGCTCCACAGGGCCTGTCGTGAAATTACCATTAATCATTTAGGGTTTAGGGTTTCGGGTTTAGGTTTTCGGGTTTAGGGTTCAGGGTTTCATGATTGTGGATGAGATTATTGTTTGTGTGGGATGCATTAGCTGTACCTTTCAGCTGTAATTAGATAGACCACGGAGTAAGTACAACGCAGGGTTTGAAGTTTTACTGGAAACTACCGCTTCTGGTTGAAACACTGTGTTTGAAGATCTAGACCATGACGGTTCCGATTATTCTGACAGGGTTGCAACTGCAATTTGGCTCTTTCCCTTATAACTCCCAACAAAGCTAAGCATGATATCATGGAGTTTGGCAAAACTATGATGTATAGGCCTGAAGGCTTTATAAGGCTTTGTGTTGCCCACACTTCAACCCCAAGCTCCCAGCCCAAGCTCCCATCCGCAACCCCAAAACCGAAGACATATGGTAGCCTTTTTTGGGGGGAATTGTTAACTGAGCTACAACCTCATAGCATAATTTATGTGGGCCCTTTTCTGAAGTTATCTGACCAAGCAAGTAATAGTGCCGGGCGTGCCATCTCACGAACATGAAGCCCTCCAATCTTCAAGGACCTGTAGCACACGGGTTGGATGGGGTTCCATATTAGGGCCATTATAGGGTATTCCATGTTTTGGCCATTAGGGTATGTCCATATTAGGATCATTATTTGGGTAGGGGCCTGAGCTTTGTGATAAGATGAAACCTTCTAACACTCACCTGCAAGTTTTTTCTCTGAATACATATATAGTCCCCACCCTAGCTTAATTAACCCTTAAGGCAGCGCCCTAACCCTTGCTGCCGCAGGCCACGTGCAGAACTACATCCTCGATGGAACCTCTAGATATTCTACTATACCACTATATTCTTAACTCATCGCCTATACCCCCTAAGTAAATTCACCCACCCCAGGGCCTCATAAGCCTTCCCGGGAGCTCCTCAAATCCTAATTACAATCCTAAACCCCAAACCCTAAGCCCTAAACCCCTAAACCCTAAACCTAGCTGGCCTTCTCAAGTCGAAGGGATCTCACGGCGCCATGACTTTCGAAGCAGGAATTGTTTAGATTTATGTTGGAAATGTCTAGCCTTGGGGATGTGGGGCTTAGTCCCAAAGGAGCTCATTATAGTGTATAAGGGTGTCTTTGGTACATAGGGTAGGATGTACGAATGTAATTACGGTTCTCAGCTATCAGATAATATCAAGATTACCAGCGATGAAATGACTGAGTTGCTGCAATTCTTTCAATCGTAGAAGTAGATTGATCTCATATGTAGGATTCGAGGACACGGTCTTTATTGTTTCGCCCTTGAGGTTCCAAAGCACAAGTGCATCAAAGAAAGCAAAGACAAAAGCCTCTAATAGGACCCTGTAGTCTTTGTTGCGATAAAATTGGCAGCCCTAACTAATACAGTTGCCATACGAAACAACTATGATGCTATACAAGACTGACCCACACATATTCGGGGGGAATGCCCTGGAACCCAGCCCTATAGAAGACCCTCCCACCCTTAAGCTTCCACCTGAAGCATGGTGGCCTCCAAACACTTAAGAGCTACTCCTGAAATCTTGGGTTAAGCTTTAAGGGTTAGAGGTGTAGGGTTTAGGGTTCAGACGTTAGTGAGTTCAGGGTGAACGTATATTGCGGAGTCTTCAGAGTGGGCTTTTTTTACTTACCAAATTATATATCTGAGCCTGGCATTCCAAAATCTATATATATATATGTGGAAGGGCTTCCTCCTATAGAAATATTCCTACCTGCCAGGCTCAGTTTTTTTCTTTTTTGCGTAGTCGCTCAAGCACCGTGCTGCAGGGGAAAGTCAAGAAGGCCTCATGAATTCGCATCAGACAGGGGGAGTTGTGAATTCACATCCGAACAAGGAAAGCCTCGTGAATTCACAGCAGACAAAGAAAGCCCTGTGAATTCACATCAGAACAAGGAAAGCCTGGTGAATTCACACCAGGCTCTTGGGAATACAGGTGAAAGCTGTACAGTACACTATATACACAAAACCTTGTGAATTCACAAACAAGCAAGGAAACCCTTGTGAATTCACATTTTTGGCCTTAAGGCCCGGCAGGATTGAGAACTACACCAGGCCAGGCAATCTTGCTTGTGAATTCAGACGGCCCAAAGCGGGGGGGGGCGCGTGAAATTTCACACCTTGCCCTTTTTGTGATCATGAGCACTTTCACGGGCATACCGCCCTTTCACGGCCAGAAGCCCCTTCGAACCACGACCACACAAAGCACGATCAAAAGTACACCCAGGTTGGGGGTATGATACGAGCCCCGACGAAAGTGGTTAACCACCCCAACGCTGGTAGGGAAGGTTACATTCCTGCGAGACTTCTTGTTGAGGCAGTGTCTGCAACCCAGGACGAGCTGTTAGACCTTAAGATAAGGCCGAATGTTTGCATAAAGCCATCCAAGAGCCGAATACCTTATTCAGCCTCATAAATGGGCAGGTGTTTCTCACAGTAATTCCTGTTAGCTCCTCTACCAATGCGCAAGCAGAAGACAAAATGTCTTTAAATCAACAAACATATCCGTGGCAGGAATGTCGCTAGATTTAAAAGCTGTGATGCTTGATACTTCAAATTGTTCATGAGCACTTGACCAGCGATAGCCCGCTGTATCTTCATGTCTCTGCGAAAAAAGGAACAGGAAAAATATATCTATATATAGGGCGTAAGATTTCAGGAGTAACGGGGCTTTGAACCAATTAGGGTTTAGGGTGTACACAGCAGTCATGGTTTATATATAAGGGATATATATATGTGCATTCATAGGGTTCATGGTGTAAGTTTCTGGTTTGTTGGGTAAGGTCTTAGGGTTTAGGATCTAAGGGCTCGAGCGGTTTCAGGGTTCAGGGTTGAAGACCTATCGGGTTTTGGGATCTAGCTTCGAGCACGAGGCCAACAATCTATATACACCCATCCGGAAAAAAAACCAAAGTCCAAGTTCCAACTGCCAAGCCCTAAACTTAAATCCCAAACTCCACTTTTTGAACCTTCTAAACTCATGTACAAATCACCAAAACCCCAAACCCTAAACCCCGAATGTGTTGAACTCTAAAGATGCGTTATGTGGGGTGGGAAGCATGAATTTTGTTGGGTCGAATCTGAAGTTTCTGAGGCGTCGATATAGGGCTAGAACGTTTCCCAGGAATCTTGCTGAAAGATGGAATCTAGGATGGGCGATTGGATTCAATATTTAAGTAGCCCGTAATGGGGACCGCAAGGGCTAATGACCCATACTGGAAAGGGATTGGGCTTTATATTTGGGGGCTTCAAAGTTCCGAGTTGCTGGACATGCGCAGCCTGCGACTGGTCAACCCTAAAACCTAGAAACCCTAAACCCTATATAGGCTTACAAACCTGAAATGGCAGCAAAAAGCTGCAAGTAAGGAGTGTTTGGATCAAGGGCCCAGTACCCCGAAGCTGCAAGCAAGGAATATTGAAATCCAGGGTCCTATGGTCCAAGTACCCAATACATAATCAGATAGCCTGATAAAATAATTATAGACTACATTTTCTTGGGGTGTGATTATGTGTCAAGTACTTGGACTCTTTCACGGTGTTACTCCACTAGTTTTCATCCAGGTTTGCCCGGGAAATTTGAGAACAAAAATCCCAGTGGGAATGCCTCTCCTTTTTCAGCGCCACTGCAGGCAGAACTGGAGTGCGTATTTAAACGCCACATGCCCTGAAAGGTGGGCGGGATGCGACTTTGCGGCCAGGTGTTTTATCCTCCTTACATGGTCCTCTGATTGATAGTTCGAAGCGAATCTTGGATTCAAACACCCTCCGTCAAACAAGGCATGCTCCCAATAGTGGTTTTTAGGCCTCACGGGCCATCGGCACACGTTTCGATCAAGGGACTCTCGGCAAAGTCTGTCTTGACCACTTCGCCAAATCATGTAGCAGCTGCGCAGCTGCTGTAGTGACTCCAAAGAAAAGAAACGACCACTCAAAAGCATGATTTCCTCCATCTTGGCAAGGGACATGCACACACCGGCGCGAATCCTTGATTGATGGTTGTTTCGTCGAGAAAACCAGACAATCGAATTCTTTTATATAGGTCAAAACTCATCAAAATCTGAAACCCTCAAACTGACATAATTCTTAGGCCAACTCGAAAAACTACTATATATTGCTTATCTTGAATATCGATACAACATCAAACCCTCGATAAACCCTGATCCCATGAAGCTTGTTGTGGGGTATTCCCGGATTTGCCTGGCGAAATTGGAACAAAAAGAATTTAAAACAAAGTGACCACGTATTAGCAAAGCAACTGGTAGAACGGATTGTTGGGATTGCTGTCCAACAGAAATCGAGATAGCTGCGCCAACCAGAAAATGAAGTACCGAGCTGCCGAAGCTGTCAGCTGCTTCTGACTGATCGTGATGTATTCACGGGAAGAAGGCTTGAGCGTCGCACTTGCGAACAGTTTGCGCACTGCACGGTCTGGAACGCCTGACACAAATCAAACAAGAATAAATCATTTGATTTTCGGATAAAAAGAAACGTTTTAGATTTCAGCCAGGCTTGCCTTGACTGTTGCACCAGTCTCTGTAAGAAATCCAAAGATCGTTCAGATCACTCTCTCTGCGAGGCCCGTCGCTCAGGTCGCATAGCATTGCCACTACAGTGTCCGGAAAGGTTGCCAAGTGCATTAAATGCATCGGGTCCCCAAAGATCCCTTGGATCAGGCATGAGCTATTGTCTGGTTTAAATGATTGAGTTAGCACCCGCAATACACAACGATCATGAACTGGCCAAGCAGCGAAATGGATCGAAGCCGTCAATTTGCGTCAAAGGACTGGGGCCATGAACCCTGATGAACTCTTCAGTTGTGCACAACCTGGTTTGCGAGCAATACAAGCTAGGCCCTAGACATGTGCTTTGGCAAATTGGAAATTTTGGGACAAGTAATGAAAAATAATTTGGATGAGAATTGTAATCTAGCTTCGTGAAGCGATGAAGAGCATTGGGGCCATAGTTTGTGAACAACAACTCGGAGGAGTTGGGCAGCCCCTCTGGATCATCATTTGCATAGATCCATTGAAGTGCCTTCAGTCAATGGGTTCTTCTTCAGGTTGATCAGCTATAGTATTATGTAAATTAAATTGGAGGGGAAGGATTGAAGATTTCGAGCCCGAGCCTGGCACATGAAACAACATTGTTTTCGAGAATAATCGCCTCGAATAGGTGCAAATTAGTTCGGTAGTTTTCGTGGTTGCGTACTGTCTTGAAAATGAAATAGGCATGAAATGGACAAGGCACGTTTCAGGAGGAATGCTTTCTTCACCCATTCAAGATCGGCCTGCGCGCCGTCCAGCAGGCCAACAAAGCTGCCCGATATCGGGTGCCCAGCCAATTTGAATCTGTCTGGGCAGTACTGCTTGTCAAAGACCCGGCCCCAAGGATCTTTCTCCGGGTAAACTCCTTTTCCTTATCACCCCAAATCACCAAACAGAAAAGGATTCACTATTTTCCGCTTCAGGATTTAAAGGCTTAAGAGAAATCCTAGAATCTAATTGCCTCACAAGCGTCCCAAGGCCTCAAACGACCACTGGATGACTCGAAGAATCTTTTGGCGACTATCATCTTTGTGATACATCATGTTAATGCAGCTCAACCTCAGCTTCATCATGAAAGGTTTTACAGCAGATTGAATTTATTCAAAATGTGGGAAGAGTGTGCATTCAGCTAAGTAGCATAAACCTGCTCTTCATTGTGGTGGCCGCCCCAAGCGGAGCAATCATGCATATGACTTCGAACTTTTGCTTTTCTGAGTTGCACGTGCAAACCTTCAGATACTGCTAGCGTAATCTTTGAATAAGTGCTGGCAGGAGTCTTGTAAATTCAGCACCATCCCCGTAGATTCGCAGGGGCACGCAATATGCCCAATCTTCTGTAGCCTCGACATTAATTTGGAGCTTTCCCCTAGAACCTGAAAGGCTTAATCAATATGAGCCATGGATCTTGCAGAATCGGATGCGCATCTGTCCAGCTGCGATCCTGCTTCATCCAATAATCGCGAACCTGGGCTGCGTGATTGTTTGGGGTTAGGGGTGTAGAGGGGGGTTCTAGTTCTTGAAGCCAAGTGTCTTCATCTGCCCCTGGCCAGAGGAGGTCAAAGTGATCCGTAGCATAAAGAGATCCAACGATTTCATGCGGCAGGAGCATCTTGTGATTCACGAGTTTTTCAGTTCGCCCATGGGCATCTTCGTAGACCTCGGCTCTGTATTGACGTGATTAATGTTCAGTCAGGCCCTTTCAATCCCCTTGAGGCATGGACTGATTTCAATTCTATCCTCGGATTCAGCAAAAACAAGATTGGGACTCGGAGTATAAAGTGGTTACGCTACACATGTTATATGGCCAGTCCAAGCATCTGAAATACCTTCGGCAAAATGCGCCGCCAGGGTTGCTTGTTGACCCATCTCTCCAGCTGCCGCAGCTGGCCCCATGATTTGGATGTTTCTCGGAAACCCACAGCCAGATCTAGTAGATCCTTCCTTGCAGGTGTAATAAGCCTACGAAAAACATCTTCATGTCTATGCAGCACTTATAGACAGTAATCCATCCTGGTCACGGTACCATCGCATGTGGTAGCTCATATACTCTTTGCAGATCTTTGGCAAGCTCCGCTAGAGGAACCTGCGCACGCGTGGGAGATTGCAATTTCTAAAGCTTCCATGAAAGCAGCTCCACCCGCCTGCCCCAAAGATAATAGCCGAAGCGCTTGATCACAAGTGTCTTTGACATACTTGTGTACCCATTTGGCTTCAGGAGGTGGCGCATGTGATGAAGATGCAGCCATATACAAAGCGCAGAGACTAATCAATGGAAGGTAGTATATAGACTGGGATTCCCAAGGTCTTTCCGAAAAAAAAAGAGATCTTGCTATACATTATTGTTCTGGGAGTTACCTATATGAGGAATTCAGGGTTGGGGTTATAAGCTTAATTTGTGAGGGTTTCATGACAGGCATTAATAAGAACTCTGGCTGACCCTTCCCGATTTAATTGGCTTCGTGATTTGGCTACTTTACTCATGGGAGCCAGACCTGAGGCAATCATCTCGGAAGATCGATCTGGCTGCAGCAAACTCCATGAAGCTTCGGAGGCACGCACTATACGCAAGATTGCATCCTGATTTTGCCTTTGCGTGCGGCACTTGCCTCTGGATCCCGGCCCTGTGAAAGCACCCCACAGGAACTGCAGGTTCATGTTGGTGATAGAGACAACCCAGCAAGTATTGCAAGGCCACATGTGAGCTAGGGATATCTTGATTCCATTTTAGAGGTTAGCTGTTCCCTACGGGCCATGCGTGGGTTGCCGGTCTGCCTTCAAAGCACCACCCCCGTACACACATGTAGTAACATTTCAAGATCCAAATTGGATCCACCTGATCTAGTTCTTGCAGCGCTTGGCAGGCGGCGCCACCTGCTCGTCCCATTCCTCACCGTCCAGCTCCTCGGCATCAATGGGAAACTCCTCGGTTGGATCCTCCTCAGGAGCTTCCTCATCTGCTTCTTCTCCAGCCTCTTTCCTCCGTTTTTCTTCCTCCTTCTCTTGCTTGCGCTTTAGCGCAGCAACACCTGATTGACTGCCAGAAATGAACTCGTAGCAGCTGCAAGAACTAAACTGATTTCTACAAGAGGCGGCGAATATGACCATTCATGATATTCTCGGCTTGCGTGACAGCTACCTGGTACTCCTGGCAGACTATTGCATGCGCACAAGGTCCTCAAAACCACATGCACGGGAGTATCCTCCAAGTCTTGCTTGTGCCCTGCAAGGGCATCGATGCACTGCTGGATGGGAGCTCGTGCGAAAATCAGACGCTGGATCCTGACCGGCAAGGAAGGTTTAGCAATTCAGAGGGTTTGAGGGAGTATATCGATTGACTTCAGAAGTTTCGCAGTTCAGGGGTTTAGGATTTCGGGTTTAGGGTTGAGGATCTACATAGGGTTAATTTAATGGTTTACTAGGAGAGGGTTTGGGGGATTAGATGGGTTGACAGGAGTTTCCCAGCCTCGCGTGAATCTCTTCAGCAGATTTGGCGATCTGGCCCAGGCTTGTAATCGTTGCCTGGGCCAGTACGAAGCTGCGGCATGTATGTGCATTGCGCCTCCTGATTCAAGACACCACAGTTGGCCAACCCAGACGCAACAAGCGATGCTTTGCTGGCAAGATCTCGCACCCTTAGCAAAACAGACACGTCAGCCACTATAGGAAACCTAGCAACAATCATGGAAGCATGAAAGGACAAGCCACGCGTTGTTGTCCTTGTGAAAGTCCCGCTTATCCTTCTCCTCCTGAGTAAGCTCCTGATCGATGGATGGACTAGGGAAAGGTGTAGGCGTACGGTTTCTGTTTTGGGCTTATTTTGCTTTTATTAATTCAGGGCTCACGGCTAAGGGGTAAAACAAATGAAAGGAGGTTTTCGCAGGGTCCTTCTTTGGCTTTGGGGTCTTACTCCTCTGGTCGGCAATGGCAAGCGAGCTTTTTCCCATGGAAGCCACTTTAGCCTCCAAAGTTTCTGCGATCGCCGCCCTTTCCGCCTTGTTTCTAGTCGGTTGCGCATCCACCTTCGTGCGGGATCCCACGCGCGAAATCGCTGCACCTAGGATATCAAAGATAACCATGCGTGCAACAAAACTACATTAACAAGAGAGCTCTTGCTTCCAATCAAGGTACTGGTAGTGGCCAGGCTGTCAAATACTTTGTAAATTTTCATCTCTTCCTCATTTGACTGTGGATGTTTTCGGCCTTTTTGGCCTCAGCATTCACACAGAATGTACAAAAGTGATCTTTAAAGGCAAGGACAAGGGAGGCTTGCGGAAGCCAAGGTTGCTGCTGCTGATTATGGACTGCACGAACTCCTTGCCGCCCGGCAAGGGTTCATATTTTTGTCGGATCAGCATCAGGGGCAACTCGATGAACTTCTCCTTGGAAACATCCTCGTTCAGCCTCAGATACTCCAGACACCCTTCCAAAAAAAAAAAAACAAGTCCCC